AAGGTTTTCACTCTGCACTTCCTGTTTGCTCAGCCAATGTTATACCTTCTCAGGTCTCTGATGTAGTTGAAGACTAGATAGTTATAGTTTTTCTTGTTGCCAAATTCAGAAAAGAATCTCACAGAAGAAGTGTAAAATGTATAAGGTGGAGAAACAAAAGGATAGTTTTGGGATGGTAATACATGTTAGGATAAAAAGTAAATTACGTACAAAACATTGGACTTACTAAGATAGGATAGATAATGGCGCATTTTCTCTGGATTTGTCAAATGCAAACGGACTGGATATTGTGAAGTTAATTCTTACCTGATATTTGTTCTTATTGTATATAGTTTTACCATGTTAGAGTTAAAATCATCCTTTTTATTCATATAAAAGGGCAGAAGTGCTATGTGATATTTTTATCTCATTCTCACAATAAAGTTTGCTTTGACTCAGAGGGTGGTACTAGCCACGAGCTGGCCAAAATTAAGCACAGAGGTTTTGGAGCACTGGGGACAGATAGCAGACAGGAAGTAATAAGGCAGGGCTGGAAGAGGCTATCAGCCCTTTTGGATGGAGGAATGGAGACAGGAGATTACTGGTGGCTTCTCTGCAGTTTCTCTGATCATTCAGGTTCTTACCCCATATCTGACTCCTGATTTTTTATTGATAAAAAATAATTAGGTAAATGTATCACCTGTGATCTAACTTTTGCTCATCCACTGGCCCTGGCTAGCACTTCTAATTGCCTACTAGGAAGGTCTTACCTGCCTCTGCCCTTGTCTGGGTCTGCTAGATGTAAGACTGTATTCTGTTTGTTCTTGTGCTTGTATGAACAGCTCCTTTTATCATGAGTCCTCCCCCTTCTGTGTCTATGGAGAGTTAACTCATTGTACCTACCAAGATGTAGCTGGTAGGTACTCTTAGCTACCTCATATCTCTGGAGTGGCTTTCTGGAATAGGTGGCAGCCTCTTGGTAAAATTGATTCTCATTTACAATTTGATCTGTTAAAGTTAGCTGCATTAGAAACAGTGTGGTAAAGGGCATGAGTACCCAAGTTGGGGAATTTTCAGGGTAATCCTCTGGTCTATCTATACTGACTTAGTTCCCAGAGTTACCTTGTCTATCTCATAGACAGCTACAAGGCATTTTATTTCTCATCCTTAGTGTTCCTGCCTTCTCCATTGTAACTCTTAACACTATTTTGTTTTGAAAAACATTTATGTATTGTGTTTATGTGTGTGTGGTGTCATAGCATGTGCATGGAGGTCAGAAGGCTACTTGTGGGAGTTGGTTCTCCACTCTACCATGGGGATTCCAGGTTATCAAACTCAGCTCATCAGGTTTGGCAACAAGGAGCTTCACTGCTAAGCCATCTAGATGGCTCCCCAATGTGTTTTTATCCCTAATGTCTGGTTTGTTTGTGTGTTTTGTTTTACCATGACAAACTCAGCCAGGAAAAGCTGGGGAATGGGTTGGGACTTCAGGGTCATGATGCCTTTTGCTTTTATCTTAGGAGGCATGAGAATCCCTGAAGCTGACCAAGGGGCAGGGTCTTACTGGAGAATATTGCATACTAAGCTGTGGCACAGGGTTTAAGCCAGAAAGAGGCTGCTGATTCTGTTTTAGAATGGTGAAGACAGGCAGGTAGGGCAACAGCTGTAGACATAAATTTCCTCTGTCTTAGGATAAATATTATCATGATAAAACACTGTTACCCAAAACAACTTGGAAATAGTGGTTTATTTTGCTTGCAACTCTGTATCAAGCTGTTCATCATCAAAGAAGTCATGGCAGGAACTCAAGCCAGATGGGAAGCTAGAAGCAGAAGATAATGCAGAGGGCATGGAAGAGTGTTATTTACAGATTTGATCCTCATGTCTTGTATTTTCTTCTAGAATCCAGGATCACCAACCCAGGTGTCTTTCTACCCACACTGGGCCAGGCCTTCCTCCATCAATCATTAATTAAGAAATTAATTAATTATAGGCTCGCTAGTAATTAACTACAGGCTTGCATGCCCACAGTTGGATCTTCCAGAAGCATTTTCTCAGTTGAGGTTCCTTCCTCACAGATTAATTTAGGATGGGTCATGTTGGCATAAAACTAGCTAGGACATCCTCAGACAAACCTTCCCACCTTTGGGAAGGAAAGATGCTCATGAGACTCGGTGGTAAACAAATCTCATAGTCTGAGAAAGCTGAATCTTCACAAAAACCACAAGGCCCTCCCCCAAGGATATAGAAGCAATAAACAATTGCAGAGAGACTATCCAAGTAGAGAAGTTGCCTGCATTTGACTCTCAATCTCCAGGATGGCATCCTCCATGAGTCATCATGTATGCTGTGTTGGGGTCTTCAGTGATACAGTCACCTTTGAGTCATCTATGCTTCTGTGTGTTGTCCCTCACCCATCATTCTGTGAGAAAGCACAGGAAAATCACTGGTTCTCCAAGATAGAATTAGTCTATCATTAGAGACCTATCTGGGATGAACAGATATTTGTTCACATCTCCCCTGCAAAGGTTGGGGAAACATCTGGTATCCAGATCCCTACCCTCAGCTGGCTGCTTCTGCAGGCCAGGCAATGAGAGCCAGTCAACATAGTTGCCCACTCTGTTCTCCAGGAATCTGAAAAAGAAATGTCATCATGATGTCATTAACAGAACAGAGAAGACTTATTTATTTTTAAGTGTGTGTGTGTGTGTGTGTGTGTGTGTGTGTGTGTGTGTGTGTGTGTGTGTAGGTAAGTGTATACCCATTCAAATACTTGTGGAGGTCAGAAAAGGACATTGGATTCCCTGAAACTAGAGTTGAAGACAGCTGTGAGCCTCCACAGGGATCCTGCAAACCAAACCTGGGTCCACTACAAGGGCTACAAATGATGTTAAACTGAGCCATCTCTTGAGTCCCCCTTCTCTTTCTTGTAGTAATGTGTTCAAATGGCAATTTGCCCAAACCTGAAACTCATGAAACTCACAAAACATATTTTACATTACATGTAAAACACAGCAAGACATAAATCCTTATAAATAGGAATCTTAGTTACCATTCTATTGCTGTGAAGAGACTCCAGGACTAAGGAAACCTATAAAAGAGAGCAGTTCATTGGGGGCTGGCTCACAGTTCCAGAGGATTAGTCCATGAATATCATGGCTGGGAGCATGGCAGTAGGTAGATAGGCCTGGTGCTAGAGCAGTAGCTGAGAGCTCACATCTGATCCACAGGCAGCAGGTAGAGAGTGAACTTAGGCCTGACTTGGACTTTTGAAACTTCAAAGCCCACCCCCAATGGCAGACCTCTTCCAACAAGGCCACACTTCCTAGTCCTTTTTAAACAGTTCACCAACTGGGAACCAAACAGTGAAATACATACCTTATTTTATAGAGGCCCTTCTTATTCAAACTACCACATTCTGACTTTGTTTTTTCTGGGCTAGGGAACTATATTAAACACAGATATGAATGGGGGAGTTTAAATTCTTTAAGTTCATTCCATAATTGGTAAACATTTGTCAATGCCACTGCATTAACAAGCTGGAGTTGGCCAGTGGGAACAGAGCCCTTTCCCCTGAGAAACTCACACAGGGGCTGGAACAAGGCCTCCTAAGAAACTGTCATTAATAGCCCACAAAGAGAAACATCCATGGATGGAATATCAGGTGCTATCATCTCTGGTCCCAATCTGGCAACTCATCAACTGAGCTTTGTCCTGCCATGGTCCCCACACACCTCCAGCCTACAGTTGTTCTTGCCTGTACTGACATCAGCCTTCTTCCATGTCTTCCTGCCTTATACTGGTCCACTCTCTCTTCATCTCATAGCCACTGCAAGTGGGTTTTCTAAGTCTTAAACCTGTCCCCTCCTCAGAGAGAGAGCTCCACAACATTCACCACCCAGGCTCAACTCTCCAGGCACTCAGAACTGCAATGGTCATTATCCAAAGCAGAGGTTTTCAACCTACTTAATGCTGTGACCCTTAGACACAGTTCCTCATGTTGTGGTGACACCCAAACACAAAATAATTTTCTTTGCTATGACATAACTGTAATTTTGCTATCATTAGGAATCAAACTGTAAATATCTGTGTTTTCTGTTGGTCTTAGGTAACCCCTGTGAAAGGGCCGTTAGGCCCAAGGGGTGGCATCTCATATGCTGAGAACCACTGGTGCAGTTGATAGTCATATGATCAATCAGGCCACTGTGGGCAGCAAATGTCACTGTTTCCCTTCCTCTTAGAAAGATAAACCTGGCCTACAGAAGCCAGAAAGGGACTGGTTCAGGTGTTTACCTCGTCGGATAGGAATAGGAATAAGAGATGGAAAGTATTATGGCCTTTCCTTCCCACCTGTGTTGTGTCTGATCCTGTACCTCTCGGCAGCAGTCCAGTGTATCATCGATGGCTTTTTGGTCATCAAGAACATGAGGAAGGGCAAGAAAAAAGGCCCTGGGTACATAAACTAAGCCCTCCACCTCAACACCGAGGCAGGAGTTATGCTAAAGTCACCTAGCCCTTCCCAGCATTTGGCAGAAACTCATGTCCTCCAGGCCATCACGGAGTTCCCAAGCCCACCTCTAAGTGACCATAAAGTCAGGGCTGCTAAGTTGGCAACTCTTCTGCTTCCTCGTGTGGCCTTGTGTAAAAGTCGCGTTACACTTCCATTCCTCCACAAGGCTGCCCCAGGATGATGGGAGGGACAGGACCCCAGGGAGCTACAGCTACAACCCTGCCACTCCTTTTCAAGGAAAGCCTCTCTAGGACCAGTGGGTCTCAGCGCATGGGGCTGCGTGGAGGGTGGGAATGTCTGACCTCTGCCAGGGTGGAGGCGATCCTGCTGGTCCTCGAGATGAGGTGTGCTCGCGCTGAACAAGCATAAGCGTTGGAATTCTGCAGTCCCAGCAGTCAGTTGGGCACTGCCCTTGAACAGGTCTGAAGACACCTGGCTCTCTCTTGAGCTGGGCCTGTTCAGGGACTGCAGGCGAGGCTGGGAGGTGAGAAATTGAGAACTACTGCTCACCATGCAAGCACCTCCGCCTGCCCGTGTAGATGGCCCGGGGGTCAGGCCCAAGGAAGCAAAAAGAGGGTTTCGACGCTACAGGTGGGAATTCAAAGACAGCAATAGAGTATTCTGGACGATGGGACACGCCGAAGTTAAGATCCTGAATATAGTAAGCTGAATTGGTAGTCTAAGGGTGTCTGTGGAGTGGAGGGCCTCAGAAGTCAGGGAAAGCCCTTGCAGCAGCTCAAATGTATGTATGTTTCCACCCAGGTCTGCATGGTGGCTGCACTACAACTCTTCGAAACAGTGGCCACACACCCGATCCTGATCCTGCTTCTCACTATGGAAGTGTCCATCTTCGCTTTCTTCATCTTCCTTTACACCTTTGCCATCGACAGATACATGCCCTTCATCTCCTGGCCTATCACTGTAAGTAAAGACTGTAGGAACGGACGTGCCAGTCACATTCAGGCGCCTGGAAAAAGACAATCTCACCTCCGCTAGTGCTCAGGCTGGGAAGTTGGGGAGAAGGGAAGCCAGGCTGAAAATGTTCCCCCAAAATCTAAATGTGTTGGGTCAAAGAAAGAGGGACCAAGGCTTTGCTATCCTCAGAAACAGGGAAGGTTGTAACAACCAGGCATTTCTGCTCACCGCTTTGCTGGTATACATCTCATTGGAACTGACAGGATTCAAAAAAGAAAATCAAATTCTGCATAAACCTGTAAGGTAAAGTGAATCAAATGTCAAGCAAGTCTAAAACAATGTCAGGTCTCTAAGGAACATAAAGAATGCTTCCGGAGCGTGGTCTGTCAGAAGCAGTCATACAATGAAGTGAGGCTGAGCTGGGTAAGTCCCTCAAGCATCCATTCCTCTGGTCCCTTATCTGCACTTCAGGGACTGCAACAATCTGTAGTGGGAATGACTACATTTAAACTTCTTGTCAATTCATCTTAGGACTCAGGACTTGAATTCCCTCACCTCACTTATGGAATCACCAAGTGTACCCATCTAATTCCCTCCTAGCCAATGAGCACCCAAACTTCCAATTCCCCTTGTTCATTACCCAACCGTAGAGCCTTATGTTTCCTCATTTCCCTCACTTAACAAACCAGAAAATGAAGCCTTAAAAGTTAAATAACCTGCCTTTTAACTCAGCCCAACTAGTAAACAGCAAGAAAGATCCAAACTTAATGGAATATATGTCTGTTAGCTGTGATCACCTACCTATCTGCCCTTTTGTTAAAAGCTGTTAACGTCCAGAGATCCATCAGTCCTATAAGGACCACCAGTACAAGAGGGAAGGAGATGAGAACTAAAATGGAAACTCTTGAAAACAGAATGCACAGAAGACAAAGAAAAGAAAAAGAAGAAGACCACATGCCCGGTGAAGGAACTGAAAACATTCAGTAAAATAAAAGTCCACCAAATGATGAAAGTGGATCTTCCTATACTTAACCTAAAAAATAGTGTTGGAAATAACTCAACACAGAGAGCATTATTCTTAGCTTTAAATGTGCAGCCTTAGCTTGGCGTGTTCTAGCCGGCACTGGTTAACTTAATATATCTTTTGCCTCTGGGCTTTTATTATTCTGTATTTCTATGAACCTTACTTCCATCCTTACTCCATGGCTGGCTGAGTGGCTGAGAGGGAGGGTGGCTGGGTGGTTGGGTGACTGAGTGACTGGGTGACTGGGTGACTGGATGAGTGGGTGGCTCAGTGACTGAGTGACTAGGTGACTGGGTGACTAGGTGGCTGGGCGGCTGGAGACTGGGAGACTGGGTGACTGGGTGACTGGTTGACATGGTCAGTGGGTGGCTGGGTGACTAGGTGACAGGGTGAGTGGGTGACTGGGTGGCTGAGTGGGTGGGTGACTGGGTGGGTGGGTGACTGGGTGACTGGGTGACTGGGAGACTGGGTGACTGGGTGACTGGTTGACATGGTCAGTGGGTGACTTGGGGAATGGGTGACTGGGTGGCTGGGAGATTGGGTAACTGATTGACTGGGTGACTGGGTGACTGGGTGACAGGATGGCTGGGTGGCTGGGTGGCTGGATGACTGGATGATTAGGTGGCTTGGTGGCTGGTTGACAGGTTGACTTGGTGACTGGGTGGCTGGGTGGCTGGGTGACTGGGTGACTAGTTGACTTGGTCACTGTGTGGCTGGGTGGCTGGGTGGCTGAGTGATTGGTGACTGGGTGACTGGGTGACTCGATGACTGAGGGACTGGGTGACTGGGTGACTGGGTGACTGGGTGACTCGATGACTGAGGGACTGGGTGACTGGGTGACTGGGTGACTGGGTGACTGGTTGACTGGTTGGCTGGGTAACTGGCTGACTGGGTGACAGTGTGGCTGGATGACTGGTTGACTGTGTGACTGGTTGACTGGGTGACTGGGTGACTTGGTGAATGGGTGACTGGGTGACTGAGTGACTGGGTGACTGGGTGACTTGGTGAATGGGTGACTGGGTGACTGAGTGACTGGGTTACTGGGTGGATGAGTGACTTGGTGACTGGGTAGTTGGTTGACTTGGTGACTGGGTGACTAGGTGACTGGGTGTCTGGATGACTGGGTGACTGGGTGACTGTATGACTGGGTGACTGGGTGACTGTATGACTGGGTGACTAGGTGTCTTGGTACCTGGGTGACTGGTTGACATGGTGACTGGGTGGCTGGGAGCTGGGAGACTGTGTGGCCAGGTGACTGGTTGACTGGTTGACTGGGTGACTTGGTGAGTGGTTGACTGGGTGATTGGATGACTGGGTGGCTGGGTAACTGCATGACTGTGTGACTGGGTGACTGAGTGATTGGGTGATTGGGTGACTGGGTAGCTGGGTGGTGGGTTGTTGGGTGACTGTGTGACTGGTTGACTTGGTCGCTGGGTGGCTGGGTGGCTGGATGGCTGGGTGGCTGAGTGATGGGTGACTGGGTGACTGGGTGACTGGGTGACTCGATGACTGAGGGACTAGGTGACTGGTTGACTGAGTGGCTGAGTAACTGGGTGACTGGGTGACTGGGTGATTGAGTGACTGGGAGAATTAGTGAATGGATGACTTGATGGCTGGAAGTCTGGGTGACTGGGTGACTAGGTTACTGAGTGACTCGATGACTGAGGGACTGGGTGACTGGTTGAATGGGTGGCTGGGTGACTGGGTGACTGGGTGACTGAGTGACTGGGTGAGTGGGTGGCTGAGTGACTGGGTGACTGGGTGACTGGGTGACTGGGTAACTTGGCGACTGGGTGGTTGGGTGGCCGGGTAGCTGTGTGGCTGGGTGGCCGGGTGGCTGGGTGGCTGGATGGCTGGGTGGCTGGGTGGCTGGGTGACTTGGTTACTGGATGGCTGAGTGACTTGGTGACTGGGTGACTGGGTGTTTGGCGAATGGGTGGCTGGGTGATTGGGTGAATAAGTGACTGGATGACTGTGTGACTGTGTGACTGTGTGACTGGGTGACTGGGTGACTGGGTGGCTGGATGACTGGGTGACTGGGTGACTGGGTGACTGGGTGAGTGGGTGAATGGGTGACTGGGTGACTTGGTGACTGGGTGACTGAGTGACTGGGTGACAGGGTGACTGGGTGGCTGGGTGGCTGGGTGCTGGGATGCTAGTGACTGGGTGGCTGGGTGGCTGGGTGGCTGGGTGGCTGGGTGGCTGGTTGACTGGTTGACTGGGTGACTGGGTGACGGGGTGACTGGGTAACTGGGTGACTGTTTTGCTTGATGACTGGTGACTGGGTGACTGGGTGACTGGTTGACTGGGTGACTGGGTGACTGGGTGACTGGGAGACAGGTTGACTTGGTGACTGGTTGACTGGGAGACTGTGTGGCTGGGTGACTGGGTGACTTGGTGGTAGGGAGGTGGGTGGCTAGGTGAATGGGAGGCTGGGTGGCTGGGTGGCTGGATGACTGGGTGACTGGGTGGATGGGTGACTGGGTGTTTGGGTGACTGGGTGACTGGGATGCTAGATGACTGGTGACTGGTTAACTGGCTGACTGGTTGACTGGGTGACTGGTTGACTGGGTGACTGGGTCACTGGGTGGCTGGATGACTGGGTGACTCGGTAGTTGGGTGACTTGGTGACTGGGTGACTGGTTGACTGGTTGACTAGGTGACTGGGTGAGTGGGTGACTGCATAACTAGGTGGCTGGGTAGATGGGTGACTGGGTGGCTGAGTGACTGGGTGACAATGTGACTAGGAGACTGAGTGGCTGAGTGACTGGGTGACTGGGTGACTGGGTGACTTGTTGACTGGCTGACTGGGTGGCTGGGTGACTGGGTGTCTGGGTGGCTGGGTGACTTGATGCTGGATGGCTGAGTGGCTTGATCACTGGGTGACTGGGTGTTTGGTGACTGGGTGGCTGCATGATTGGGTGACTAAGTGATTGGGTGACTAAGTGACTGGGTGACTCAGTGAGTGGGTGAATGGGTGACTGGTTGACTTGGTGACTGTATGGCTGAGTGGCTGGGTGACTGGGTGACAGGGGGATTGGGTGACTGGGTGGCTGAGTGACTGCGTGGCTGGGTGACTGAGTGACTGGGTAACTGGGTGACTGTGTGACTGGGTGACTGGGTCGCTGAATGACTGGGTGATTGTGTGACTAAGTGACTGAGTGACTGGGTGACTGGGTGACTGGGTGGCTGCGTATTTGGGTGACTAAGTGATTGGGTGACTAAGTGGGTGAATGGGTGGATGAGTGACTGGGTGACAATGTGACTAGGTGACTGGCTGACTGGGTGACTGAGTGGCTGAGTGACTGAGTGACTGGGTGACTGGGTGACTGGGTGACTTGTTGACTGGGTGGCTGGGTGTCTGGGTGGCTGGGTGACTTGATTACAGGAGGACTGAGTGGCTTGATCACTGGGTGACTGGCTGTTTGGTGACTGGGTGGCTGGGCGACTGGGTGACTGGGTGACTGGGTGACTTGTTGACTGGGTGGCTGGGTGTCTGGGTGGCTGGGGGACTTGATTACAGGAGGACTGAGTGGCTTGATCACTGGGTGACTGGCTGTTTGGTGACTGGGTGGCTGGGCGACTGGGTGACTGGGTGACTGGGTGACTTGTTGACTGGGTGGCTGGGTGTCTGGGTGGCTGGGGGACTTGATTACAGGAGGACTGAGTGGCTTGATCACTGGGTGACTGGCTGTTTGGTGACTGGGTGGCTGGGTGATTGGGTGACTTAATGACTGGGTGACTGTGTGACTGGGTGACTGGGTGACTGGGTGACTGGTGGGATGGATGATGGGGTGACTGTTTGACTGGGTGACGGGGTGAGTGGGTGAATTGTGACTGGTTGACTTGGTGACTGGGTGGCTGAGAATCTGGGTTACTGTGTGACTTGGTGACTGGGTGGCTGGGTGACTGGGTGACTGGGTCGCTGAGTGATTGGGTGATTTTGTGACTGAGTGACTGAGTAACTGGGTGACAGGGTGAT